TCCAATTCCTTTTTTTCACTAATAAAATGACCAGCATGCCCTTTTCTTTGTTTTTTAGATGTGTTTTTATCTATTCAGTTTTTTAATTCGATTAAATTTCTTACACACATAAATACCTTCAATTAAAATTTTCATGCAAACAAGTACGGAATCCACATTCAGATGAAACAATCTTTCAAATTTATAAACTGCATTATATATAATGAATTGTGAATAAATACAATACAAGAATAGTATTGCTTATTGCAAGTGGACAAAATAAACAAATGACTAATTCAATCAAAATTCTTGATTGAAGTTTAAATTTAATAAAAATTCCTGATTAAAGCATCACCTAACTGTAATCGAATTCACTATCAGCTATCATCTACTATTTAGTCTATGCAAATTAAAGATTTGTAAATTTACAAGGTGATGGTTTATAAATTAAAAGAATAATATTTGATGCTTTGTTTTTACTTGTTTTCTAAATTTTTATGAACAATGAAAAATTAGTTAATAAAAATATCTCGTGAATCATATAGGAGGATAAAAGAAGAGACGTATCTTTCGAAATTGAATTAAAAAATAAGAGGCAGCTTCGTCATTTCATTGACTTAAAAAAAAAAAACTGTTTGTTGGAGCCCAATATCACCTACTGTATTAACCAAAAATTGACATATACCCCAAACAAAGCAAACGAAAATTAATCATTCAAAACATGTGAGCCCATTTGTTGACTTTTTACCCATTAACAACCTGTTTAACATCAGAATTTTTGACTCCATATGTAAATGCATATGTGTGTGTGTGTATATATATATTTATATTCAACTGAAGTTACTAGGAATAATAATACTACAAGAGAATCATTTTGAGGCAAAAGCATGTCATCGCTAGTTACAAAATGCATCATCTCACGAGATATTTCACAATGACTAATCAATATACAAAAAAAAGTTCAATGCTATATAGAACAAATTCGTCTACTATTCACAACGAACTCTGCCAAAGCTATATAGAACAAATTCGTCACTCACATCTTTTATGTCATATGTCATGTCATAAATTATCCAAAAAATAAAATATCACTTACGATATGTTAATGTGTGATTTCGGATTGATTTTTTAGCTCAACGATTCGGTTATAGATTTATAAATTAGGAATTCGTAATTGACGTTAAATTAACAAATTAGAATTTCAAAAAATTAGGGGTGGAATTTGGGTGAGCAAAGCAACTCGATTTCTGCTTGTTAGTTTTACGAGAGTATGCAAGGTTATTGAGACTGGATTTAAATTTTAGACGTCAAATTTATTTTGGGCCGGATTTGGACCAAAAAATTTAATAAATCAAGGAACCCTAACTACCAAAAAATAAAAAATATTAGAATAGTTTATAACTTTTATATAAGTAAAATAAAGTTAAAATAAACTCGGTTACTTTGATTCGTTTATTTTTAAAAAGTAAAAAATTATAATAATTTAATTTTAGTTAAGGAAACAAAATATTAAAAAATATCAAATATTGAGTTCTTTCCAAGTTTATATTATGGTAATTTTTTGGACCATGTTACATGTCTTAAATTATTAAAAATTATATCTTATGCTATAAGATTATAATACACTTAATTTTGTTATTTTTTTACATGATATGAGAGGGTTTTCTTATTTATATATATATATATTTTATTTTATGTCCTAGTTTATGTAGCTATAGAATTTAACATTTTATTTTTTTACAATTTTATTTATTTATAGGTTAATAAAATTTGGGACAATTTGAGAAATCCAAAAAAAATGTGCACCATGGGGCGGATTGAGATATAATGGATTTTCGAACATAGGCATGACGCGGATTAAGGCGTTAGAACCTTTGATTTGGTATGGGCTAACCCCTTAGCTCGTCCAACCTGCCCAAGTCCAATCCTTATAAGAAACTGGACCAATTCATGTAACAAATCCAATATGATCGTTAGTTATATATATATACACACACACAATCTATTTAATATTTTTTAGCTTTAACCAATAACGGTACCCCCAATTAGACCTTTAAATGCAGTGGCCAATAGTTGAATGTATTAAATATAAATTGATAATTCAACTATTGGGTTGGATGTGTAAATTAATATAAATTGATAAAGTCTCTATTCTGCAGTTGTAAAGAAAAAACGAAAAAAGAAAAGGTCCTTTTTAAAATAACTTAATCCGTAAAACAAATACGATCCTTCGATAATCTACGGATTTGTCAATTAAGTGCACGCTATAAAAAATGTTCCATGATTTGTGATAATCTACTTAACAAATGTTCCATTATTTGAGAGGAATGGGATAAAATGCATACATATTTTGTTTTTTTCTGTCACATTGGAACTACCAAATATAAGTTTGAATTACACAAAACATACATGGTAACAAATGTTCCATGATTTGTGAGGAATGAGATACATCAATATATTTTGTTTTTTTCGATAATGGTGGCATCCAAATTTCTTAAAGATTTCATAAGGCATGAAACATCTTGAGTCGAAAATATATCAAGCAATTATCAAGAAAATTTGTTTAAGATGGTCCAAAGAAGATTCAAACAAGATAGCAATTATCAAGAAAATTTGTTTAAGATGGTCCCAAGAAGATTCAAAAAAGATAACAGTATTACCGAAATGATAGATACAATAAGAATACAATTATATGACACTATCTTAGTACTATTAAAAATAAAATTAGTAATACATGGTCCAAGAGCATATACATTCTCCAAAAATTAGGTGTGTAAGAGATAACATCAATATCGTCATATTTAATGATATAATAATGATGTTATTCTTCACCGATATAAAATAATGGGATACAATTGAACCACTTGTTACTATTCAAAAAATAGCGTGATATTTGAACAAAGAGTCACACTATTTAGAAGGTATGACCATTGGATGCGTTGAATTGGGGTAACATGAATTGTCCCTCAATACGAGATCAAAGGATCATAAATTAGCCAAGTACTACCCAGTACTTTTTGAAGTCTCTTAACATATCCATGGCTTCTAAACAATATTCTTTATGTCAAATAAATAATTGTTTGAGCAAAGAGTATTAAAAGATGCCATTTTTGACAAAGGTTATAAAAATCTATCTATCAATCACTAGATTAAGATAGACTTTTTCTTTTTCTTTTTCTTCTCAAATTCAATTAAAGTGTATACTAATCTATCTTTATTCCCAAGGGGAACAAATTCATTGCAATTAAAAAATACCCATTCATTATAATGGGTGTAATATTCTGTTTCTTTCTCGGCAAAACCAATCAATCCAAACACATTATAGATTAGGATAGAATTTATATTCACATCGAGTGATATGATCATCAACTGGGCTTGAGATGGTGAGCCCAACTTCCAAATGAGTGGCAGGGACGGGATTTTACTATAATGGGACAACGTAGCTCCTTAAATTATCAAATAAAATAAATATATTTTTGAACAAAAATAATAAATATAAAAAATTTAAATATAGATTGATATATTCCATATATTATGTACACATTTATAACATCATGAATAAGCATTCAATTTTTAAAATATGGCTTATTATTGAATTTATGAAATCGCATTTGGTCTCTGACGTCTCATTTGATTACAGTTAGTTGAATATTAGTGATTAATTTTTGAAGTCCAGCATCCAAATATGATTATTTTTAGTGTTGATTTGGTTAGTCTGATAAATAAAACAAAGTTAAAATTCTACGAATGATCTAAACTCTATATTAGAAAAAAGATTAAATAGAGACTATAGAAAATTATGACCAATATGTATATTACATGATATGGTCCTAATCATCACAAGTTAACATTTAGATAAAAAGCTGAATAAAGATAATATATTTACTTGTAAATCTTGTCTAATGTCAATACTTATATCAATTGGTGACTGATTAGATTATATATATATATCCACTTGTATATATATTCACTATCCAATAATGACTTGTATATGAATTAGTGATTGATATATATTTACTTGTAATATATGTATATATTAAAATGAAGATATTCGTACCCGATATGATATTAATTACTAATTGACACCTATATGATACATGATTTTGGAAATCAATTAGTGGGTTTATTAGAGAATTGCACATAAAAAGACAAATATATATATATATATATATATATAAAATAAAAAATTAATCCCTTAAACCTCTCTAACTTTTTCTCTCTGTAACCTTACTCTCTACCCAGCCTTCTCTCCCACCTGTCTAAATTTCTCTCTCTGCCTAGTCTTCGTCTTCTTCCCTATGTGCATCTCTGCTCTCTTTTGTAGAAGTGGCCGGGGAGCTATTAGCTAATAAATTTGACGTGTTTCAATAAATGTATTATGTAAGTATTATTTTACATCCTGTTAGGTCCGTTTTCGGCTCATATGGGTGGATATGTTTTTTTTCCGGCTAAATCTCCAATTTAGGTCGGTTTTAGTTTTGTTCTGCCCAAATTTGATATTTTTCTCCTTAATTTGATCTTGTGCGGCGTTTTGGACTGGTAACTTTAGAACTGTTGTTTTGATGATGGCCAAATCTTTGGGTCACTCATGATGTTGCATTTCTCCTATGGTGATTCCGTTCCAAAATTTTAAGCTCTATTTTTTTATATCCATAAATATGAAACATGTTCTTCATTTTATTATGTTACATTTTGCCTCTACGACAATGTTTTTGCCTTTGTGCCTTTAAAATGACTTTAAAAAAAAAAAAAAAAAATTGTGTGGGCAACTGGTAATTACCCATTGGATTTACTGAACATCAAAAGCTGAAAAGTTAAATGGGAATCTGTACTGAAATGGATAAGGCCATTACTCCCATGCTGCCCCTCAAAAACCCTTATAAATATTCAGACAAACGACAACTCATCATCAGCTCATAATCTAGTACACGGTGAGAGAGGGGTTTAGAGAAATAGATATATAGAGAGAGTCTATATACATACACGTATATATAGAGAGAGATAGTGGTTGATTTGTAACCATGGAGAGTAGTAACAAGCAGGCTCCGGCTCTGGAACTTGAGAGCCACCAGCAATCACCACCGATGCCGAGCCCACTTAAAAAGGTAATACTGGTGGCATCTATTGCGGCTGGTGTCCAATTCGGGTGGGCCCTACAGCTCTCCCTCCTGACTCCATACGTCCAGCTCCTCGGCATCCCCCACACCTGGTCCTCCTTCATCTGGCTTTGCGGCCCCATCTCCGGCATGATTGTCCAGCCCGTCGTCGGCTACTACAGCGACCGATGCACCTCCCGTTTCGGCCGCAGACGACCCTTCATCGCCGCAGGAGTTGGCCTCGTCGCCATCGCCGTCGTTCTCATCGGCTACGCCGCCGACTTCGGCCACCTCTTCGGCGACTCCTACACTAAATCCCCAAAAACGGGCGCCGTAGCCATCTTCGTCATTGGATTCTGGATCCTCGACTGCGCCAATAACACTCTCCAAGGCCCCTGCCGTGCCTTTCTAGCCGACCTCAGCGCCGGCAGCCAAAGCAAAACCCGAATGGCCAACTCCTTATTTTCCTTTTTCATGGCAGTCGGCAATGTCCTAGGCTACTCCGCCGGGGCCTATACTAACCTTCACCGCATATTCCCTTTCACACGAACCCATGCATGTGATCTCTACTGTGCAAATCTCAAAAGCTGTTTTTTTCTCTCCATTATATTATTACTATTCCTAACAATACTAGCTCTGTGTCTGGTACGTGAACCCTTACCGGAACCGGTAAATGCCGTTGAAGTGAAGGAGGAGGGCGACGGGAAGGTCCGTCGGTTACCATTTTTCGGGGAAATATTCGGTGCGGTGAAGGAGTTGCGTAGGCCAATGTGGATTCTACTGCTGGTGACGTGTCTTAATTGGATTGCTTGGTTTCCGTTCTTGTTGTTCGACACTGATTGGATGGGGAAGGAGGTGTACGGAGGGAAGGTTGGCCAGAAGATTTACGATCGTGGTGTGCGTGCGGGTGCATTAGGGCTGATGCTGAACGCGATAGTGTTGGGGGTCACGTCCCTCTTGGTGGAGTTCTTGGCGCGTAAGCTTGGTGGCGCAAAGCGCTTGTGGGGTGGTGTCAACTTTTTGTTGGCCATCGGCTTGGCGTTGACGGTGTTGGTCACCAAATTGGCTGAGTCTTCGAGGCGTTACCCGCCCGGTGGTGGAAACGAACCTCTGTCGCCCCCTACCGGTATTAAGAACGGTGCATTAGGTATATTTGCGTTATTGGGCATTCCTCAAGCGGTGAGTTCTTTTTTCTTTTTTACCAATTAATTTTTACACAAATTTTATTAATTAATAATATTGCAATAAAATCCGAAGGAAAAAGAAATAGATTATCAATTGTTAGTTTTTATTTATTTCGTAAGTATTATGACATAGACTCTTATCTTTTTTATGATAAATTATTCTATAGTCTCATAAATCAAGATATTCAAACAAAAATTTGAAGAAAATTAATTTAACACATTTATTTTTATAAAAATTTCCCTCTCTTTATTATTTTTGCAGACAAGTGGTTAATTTATGTTTGTGCCAAAATTAATAATAATAATAGTAAAAGAATTTAGAATTTACCATTCAATTTATTTTTAAGCTATATCCACACTTTTTCAGTATACCATATCTACAGAGACTGACACATTAAAAACCTAAAATATTAAATAGCGTTATTCAATTTATTTTTAATATTTTCTTTCCATATATATAGACGTGTGTGTGTGTGTGTGTATATATATATATATATATATATATGCTGAGTTATGACTGTGATTAAATATTGGTTTTATATATGTGTAGATAACTTTCAGCATTCCCTTTGCTATGGCGTCCATATTTTGTAACACTGCTGGAGCAGGACAAGGTAATGTTTGGACCTATCTTGAAGTATTGTGGAGATTCTAGGCTTTTTTTCTAATATTTTTTATTTTGACAGGTCTTTCTCTTGGAGTTCTGAATCTTGCAATAGTTATACCTCAAGTAAGATTTTCACTATATATTATCACACCCCATGAATTTTAATTGTTTAAATATGGCAGTGTCTAATATATATATATATATATATATATACACACACACACACACATGTCCTTGTTTACATTTTTTATACATATCAGCTGGATGAAAATTTTGTTTTTATATTTCACTTATACCCCAATTTACTTTTTGTCTGCTAATTAATTATTTTAATCTCAAAATTATAATATAAAATATATATAATCTTAAATAACAAAAATACCCTCTTAAAGTTATGAGAGACTCCATTCTTAATCTACAATGGAATGTAATTTATTAAAATCATAACAAAAACTAATAAATTATTTAATCATTGTTCAATTTATTATTGGGAAAGTAATTAAAATGAATTGCTTTTAAAAGTCTGTATAAAGTTTTTTTTCAGGGCATGTGATAGAGAATATGATCAATTTTTTTTCTCTTCAGTGTGAACATGACTAATCACTTCTTTTTCATGTTCTTAGAATCCAATAATCAGTTACTTTTAGAAATCTCCATCCCACGTCAGAATGTATCGTGATGATTCCAAAAAGAACAAGTCATAATTACACACACACACACACAATAATACAACCCTATCATTTGTATATTTTATTAGCTTATTATTGAGTCATGGTCCCATCAATTTAGTTCATATTCTCTTCAAAATGCAGACTAGCTAGTCAAATTCTAGAATGAGCAGTTTCACTACTTTCCAACTTTATTTGAAAAAATTTAGCCAAGCCAAGTGGTCTGGAGGTGACCCTAATGTTTGACTTAATATATAGCATGGCATGTTTGATTTGTGAACCCACCACATGAAAAGTAACCTCAATAATTGTGTAAGGCATGGGTCATGAAAATATATATATATATATATATATATATATATATCTCAAATTTTGGCTAATTTTGATTACACAATTTTGAACAGATGTTCGTATCAGTAGTTAGTGGACCGTGGGATGCTATCTTTGGTGGCGGTAACCTACCCGCATTTGTCGCGGGAGCCGTTGCAGCGGCTGTGAGCGGCGTGTTGGCATTGACCTTGCTCCCATCTCCGACTCCAAATGAAAAAATGTCAATAGTTGCTTCATTTCATTGAAGCAAATATCTTATGTACGAGCTAATTAACTCTTCTTTGTTTTTATCTTCTCTTTTTTTTTTTTTAAAACTGTATTGTTGGGGTTTTTCACTTTTTTGGATTTCTATTTGAGACCAGAAGAATGGCCGACTTGGCTATGTAACGGTATTTGTTTAATGTTGTGTTTTTATATTATTAATTAATTGTAATGTGAAATAGCTTTTGTGCTTTTGCATATGGGATTGACTCCAAAACTTTAGATTGACCAATGTTTATCCATTTTTTCTCTTAAACTATACTCTATTTATCTATAATCTGTTATCTGTCTATGCTATTATGCTCCAAGTTCATACATGTTTGATTTTATATATATATATATATATATATATATATATATATATATAATTTTCTTTTTGGATAAGTAATTATGTATATAAATTTTTTAATCATTTTTTCTTAGTAGTATTTAATATCTACTATGATGATTCTTGGACATCTAAAAATTCCCACTATTAATTTTAAAATTTCTACATAAAGAAATTGGGGTGGGAAAAAAATCACACACACATTACACGCCTACATAATAACTCTCTACTCCATAACTGATTTTAGAATCCAATTTTTCTCTACATGCTAAGCTAACAGATATTCAATCCTCTAGTCCATAACTGATTTTAGAATCTAATTTTTCTCTACATGCTAAGCTAACAGATATTCAGATTTTGATTGTTAACAAGTTATCAAATTGAATGTTTCAATCTATATCCTAATAAATTTGGATTAGTGACATGTCTAGTAATGAGATTAAGTAGATCAGAAATATATTAATATAACTATGCAACCAAATTAATTCAATAGTATATAATTAATATAACATACATATTTAATATATTGCAATGTAATATATCATTTTAATCTGATTGAATTATTTATAATTTATATCCTTAATTTGTAAAGTTAACATATTATCGGAATCGGATTAGACTCCGATTCATTGACAAGTCTAATTTTTATACTTGTGGCATGGGTCCTTTGGCAAGCATGATATCCTGCTCGACCTATTTAATTTCCCCTCATGATCTTCCTAGCAAGGATCGCTACAACAAATTTGAGTTCTTGTCAAGAATTTTGTTGCCACGCATAAAATTTCGTGACAAAAAGTAGTGCTTTTGCCACAAAATTAAATTTGAGTATTTGCCATGAAACAACTTTTTTGTGGCAATTATTTGTCTTTTGCCACGAATATTAGGGACGGCTTAAATTTTTTTGCCAAAATATCAATTTTGTCACGACAAATTAGGGACAACATACAAAATTGTGGCAAAATGTTATTTTTGCCATGAATTTTGAGTCATTATTTGTGCTCTTTTGCCATGTAACCATTTTCGTGGCAAATCTATTATTAATTTGTAACAATGTTAATTTTGTGGCGAAAAATGTTATTTTACCACAAATTTCTTGTGTCATGGCTAAGGGATTTATTCTGCCACGAATTTTCAGTCGTGGCTATTGTATGCTTGTTTGCCACACAATTATTTTAGTGACAAATCTATTAGAAATTCGCAACGCATATTTTGCCACGAATTTGTTGGAAACGGCATTAGAAAACGCAAACTTTGGAAGGATTATTAAAAAGATTCCGCTAAGAATTTTTTGCGAATCTATTGATGAGCGCGTTCCTCTCTGCGAGGAGATGAACGTGGTATATTTATTTTCTCAAATCCGTTTCCGGGTGAATGAGAAATTGGCTCCAAAGTAAGTGATTTATAAAGCCTAAATGGGTGTGAATAAAGTGGGAAATGCTTGTCCCACATCGAAAAAGTAGCAAAGCAACCTTGAGTATATATATGTCTAGTATGGGATTTGGGTTTGGGCCCAAGGGCACCCAAGTTTTTAAGAGGGGGAGGACCTAGGCTAGCCTGGATCCGAACCAACTACCACACGCGCGCGCCGCCCGCCCGACCCGGTCCGGTCCGGGCTAGGGCGGGACTTGATTGTGAAATGGGTTTACCCAAAGTTGGGATGGGCCTGTGTGGTTGTAATTTTATTTTGTTGCTGGACTTATCAAAATGGGCCTGTTTACTGGGCTGAATTAATGGCCGAGTTGGATTATTTGCTTGCTGGATTAAAGGGCTGGGCTGGATCAGAATTAATTTTGAACCAAGAGTTGCACCCTTTACAATTTAAAAACCACCAACAGTTTTTTAATTCTGATTGGTCAACAATGGTTGCACCCATTCGGACTATGGGTGCACCCATTCAGAATAGGCACCAACAAGCCTATAAATACCCATCATTGGGTTCATTTCAATTCACACCAAATTCAGAAATATTCTTCTCTTCTTCTGAATTTCTTCTTCTAATTCTTCTTTGTTCGGTTCAGCCACTGGTTTGGGTTCAACCTAAACTGGTTTGGATTGGGTTCGAACCTTGGTTTCCAAGTTTAGATTCAATCCTGGTCTCCGAGTCTGAGTTCATCAGAGAGTACTACACCGAGCCGGTTCGCCTATTCCATTGGTTTGAAGTGCTACTACCAAAGGAAGAAAAGTCGTTGTATCCTGGGAGATAGACGCCGAAGAGTCCGTTAGCACCGTAGCGGGGCGTATCTGTCTTAAGGCTATAGAATTAAATTCTAGCCTCGACTTTATCAGGTTCTTTTATAGTTTTATTTTCTTGATATTAAACCATATAAATATATATATATAGATTATTATAATAAATATTATATTTACAAAATAATATTTAAATAAATTATACTATAGTATATGATACATTATTTTTTTTATTAACAATCTTAAGACAGATACCTTTATACTATAGTAATAATTATTTAATTATTATTCTTGTTATAATTATTATAATTTGACTCGTGGTCTGTATATCAATATATAACAGACAAATGGCAAGTACGAGTATTACTGTGCCTAATGTTCCCGTCAGTCATGGGGAGAAACCCGAAAAATTCAACGGGACAGAGTTTAAAAGGTGGCAACAGAAAATGATGTTCTACCTTACAACTCTGAATCTAAGCAAGTATCTGACTGAGACTGCTCCAGTGTTAGATGAGGGTGATACAGACATTACCAAGCTTGGAGCTGTTGATACATGGAAGCATGGAGACTTCCTATGCAAGAACTACATCCTCAATGGATTGGACAACACCTTATATAATGTGTACAGTCCAATAAATACTGCTAAAGAGCTTTGGGAGTCGTTAGACAAAAAGTATAAAACAGAGGATGCTGGATTGAAGAAATTCGTGGTTGGACGATTTCTGGACTTCAAAATGATAGACTCCAAGACAGTCGTGAGCCAAGTGCAGGAGCTCCAGCTAATCCTACATGAGATACATGCTGAGAAGATGACATTGAGTGAATCCTTTCAAGTAGCTTCAATCATTGAAAAGCTGCCACCTACTTGGAAAGATTTCAAAAATTACTTGAAGCATAAACGCAAGGAAATGGGGCTCGAAGACTTAATTGTCAGGCTGAGAATTGAAGAAGATAACCGTACATCTGAAAAGAGAGCCGGAAATTCTTCAATAGTGTCAAAGGCAAATGTAGTGGAAGCAGGACAGAAAAATAAGAAGAGGAAGCACTCTGGAGAAGGTCCTAGCCAAGGAAACTACAAGAAGTTCACTGGGAAGTGTTTCATATGCGGCAAGCTAGGACACCGAGCTAAAGATTGTCGTAGCCGCAAAACACATCATAACCCCAAGAAGAAGACCACTGAGGTGCACATAGCTGAAGAAGATAAGTTGACAGCTGATGTATCAGAGTTAAATCTTTCAGCTGTGGTTTCTGAAATCAACCTGGTAAGCAACAACAGAGAATGGTGGGTGGACACAGGAGCTACTTGTCATGTTTGCTCTGAAAAGAGGATGTTCACTACCTATGAAACTATAAATAATGAAGAACAACTCTACATGGGGAATTCTTCTACTGCAAAGGTTGAAGGACAAGGAAAAATCAAGCTACTAATGACCTCAGGGAAAGAGCTCACTCTTAATAATGTGCTGCATGTACCAGACATCAGGAAGAACTTGGTCTCTGGGTCACTACTAAGCAAGAATGGGTTCAAGCTGGTCTTTGTATCTGATAAGTTTGTGCTGACTAAGAATGGGGTGTATGTGGGCAAAGGGTATTTAAGTAATGGACTATTTAAGTTCAATGTAATGACTGTTGTACCCAAAGCTATTAATGATAATAATAAAGCCAGTGCTTCTTCTGCTTATATTATTGACTCATCTGATGTATGGCATGGTAGGTTAGGACATGTTAATTATGATACTATTCGTAGATTGATTAACATGGAATCTATACCTAAATTTAATATTGATTTAAATCAAAAATGCCAAACATGTGTAGAAGCAAAATTGACTAGAACCTCATTTCACTCCATAGAGCGAAGTACTGAACCTCTAGCATTAATTCACAGTGATATCTGTGACTTTAAATCTGTGCCAACTAGAGGTGGGAAAAAGTATTTCGTTACTTTTATTGATGACTGCACAAGATATTGTTATGTATATTTGTTAAGAAGTAAAGATGAAGCCTTGGAAATGTTTAAACATTACAAGAATGAGGTTGAGAATCAACTTGGAAAAAAGATAAAGATGTTTAGAAGTGATAGAGGTGGTGAATACGAAATACCATTCGCTGACATTTGTTCAGAACATGGTATTATTCACCAAACTACCGCTCCTTATTCACCTCAACAGAACGGTGTTGCTGAACGCAAAAATCGTACCTTAAAAGAAATGATGAATGCTATGTTGATAAGTTCTGGTTTAACCCAGAATTTGTGGGGGGAAGCTTTGCTCTCTGCTAATTATGTTCTCAATAAGGTACCTCAAAAGAAATCAAATGTGACACCTTATGAATTATGGAAAGGTCAAAAACCTTCCTATAAATTTTTATAAGTGTGGGGGTGTTTAGCTAAGGTTGCGGTTCCTACTCCTAAGAAAGTTAAGATAGGACCAAAAACCTTTGATGGTATTTTCATAGGCTATGCACAGAATAGTAGTGCATATCGTTTTCTTGTGCATAAATCAGACATTCCTGATATCCATGTCAATACAATTATTGAGTCAAGGAATGCTTATTTCTTTGAGGATATATTTCCTTGCAAAAATCCTCTTAAAAGAAATTATGATACTGCTAATAGCAATATACAAGAGAATATAGACCAAGAGTCTATAGATGATGAAAATGAGGAAGAACCTAGACGTAGCAAAA